TGGAAGTATTTGCAGCCGGGGAACAGGTTGAGCATCAGGTTCTGGGTGGTGAGCAATTGCATTGTGCATCACTCATTATACATATATTCTTACTAGTATTATTATTATTTCTTCTCTTTTCTTGTGTTGTACTATTACACTTGTCCTCATCTCAACTCATGAGGTTTTACCTTTTGTTTATCCTGTTCTCCTCCCCATTCCCCCAGTGGGACGGGGTAGCAAGCAGCCACATGGTGCTTATTAGCGTCTGGGCCTAAACCACGACACAAGGATATGAAAAATTTTCTTCTTATGAAGCACAAATGTTAAAGTACGACTGTACTCTGCGGTAACTTTTAAATGTCATAAAAATTTTTTTTAAAAGTGTAGTATTCAATAATTGCACAAAATTATATAAAAGAAAGTATAAAAAGGTACAGTTAACGCCTTGATTCCTAGTAAGAACTCTTTTTTAGGTTAAGTATTCTCACTTTCATTCCCATTGTTTCACTTGATCAACTTTCTCTGCAAAAATGTAGAAATCAGTTCACTGACTTGAATACAGCAATCCATCCAGCAAAACAGGTTCCAGAGTAATCCCTCAACAGAGCTGAGGAATAATAGCAGAGTCCTTTCACATTAAAAAAGTGGTGTAGTTGAGAGACCTGCCATTCACAACTCCCTGTACTATAAACTAACTTCTCACTTGAGTTATAAAAAATATTTACTTTGTAACAACTAAAAGGTATAATTCACTATCAAACAGCAAAATGAAATAACTGCTTTTTCTGCTGTTTCATTTGTTTCTCTGTGGATAATCCAACCTCAACCATACCTGGAACAACCTGGAGACACCAGAGAATTATTTGTTAAAAATGAGTGTTGCATATTTTCAGTGTTCAGGCATATACTCACAGAATGTTAAAAAAAGAAAAATACAAGATCCGTATGTTGACTCCAGAAACAGGGTTGGATAATATCAATTTGTATGTTATAAAATAATACTGATTCTCACTTATTCATCTTCGTATGTATTCAGTTTTTTGGTCCATATCTGAATCTGATGAGTCACTTTCATCAGAAGAATGAGAGGAATTTTGCCATTCATGAGAGCCATTAGGACAGTGTGGTTTCCTTGATGTGTCATCCAGGAGTTTTGCTTCAAAAGCACGAGTACATTGCCAGTCAACTGCATCTTCTTGGGAAGAAAGAAGACTTGCAGAACTATCCATGTTCTCTTCAGAGGTTCCCAACAGCACAGTTTTCAAGTTAATGGTAAAGCAAGCACTGTTCCTTCGCCTAGGAGAATAGTTACAATTTACTTCAGAGAAAGGATTGAGTAACTTGCTACTTGTGTCTTTGTCTTTTTCCATGTCCATCTCATGCTCTTCAAAATCTTCTGTCTCAGTGTCTGGATTTTCACTTGCGTGGCTGCTGCTGCTGTCACATGTACTATTTGTAGAGTACTGCACAAATACATTTGGCCCGTCAGGGGAATGAGGTACTCTACTTATGATATCACGCCTTGTATAGTCATGATTACTTATGGCATCGCTCTCACTGTCATCGCTGTCATCTTCATCACTGACAGCACCGCTGGGTTCCTTTGCCTTTTTTTTAACCTCTTTGTAAATTATCTCTACAGAGGCTATTTCTTCAGATTCAAGTGTCCAAAGTGAATAGGCTAACGTCCTGATGAACGCCTAAAAGAGCAAAGTGAATTAAAAAAAAATCAGCTAAATTTGTACACATGCACAGAAATATACAGAAAAAATTACCCCCAATCATGAGGCTGTCAAATGAGTGATTCTTTCTGTGACACATTTTGGGCTTTTTCTGCAGAGTTCAGGGCATCCTGGATTGTTCCCTCTTCTCCATTCCTGTAAATATGACAGCCTCACTACAAATGAAGGCACACAGCATTGGACAGCCTCAAAGAAACTACACTAGTGCCAAGCAGTGTCAGGTATAAAATGTTTCAATTCTAATTTTTGACTAAAAGATCATTTTAGAAATACATCTTAAAGCTTGCAACTTCCTATTAGCTCCTACAATTGCCATGTAAAAGAGAAGCCTTACATGGATGATCAATTTTAATGTCCTTTAGAAATGTCCCATTTGAAGCAATGACGTATGTAACATCCCAAGTCCCATTTTCTCAGTTTTACTCTGCACTTTTTCCCCCAATGCTAATCCTCAAATGTTGACAATAAAAAAAAATTAACTTTAGACACTACTTGGCAAAGTCATGTTCAGCAATCTTAGGGATATCAAGGTAATGATACAGCAAAGGACAGAAATGTGAGGAAAAAAATCTTAGAAAAAGTTGATAACAATCTGCTCTGGATATGTTTGTAGAAAAAGGAAAAAAAATTGCTAAAAAAACCTATAGAATTAAATGTAAAAGTAGTCAGAGACTATTAAAAAAATGAAGCAAGCAAAGATGGATAGAAACAAACCCTAGGATTCTTATTATTTTTTTCTGGAAATTTAGTGGCAGTTCAGTCTCTTCTCTGTCTTCTGAAACCAAAAATTAGCCAACTTGGGACTGACTTCCTCAAGTGCTGAAACATGATGTTTGATCACAGAAAAAGTCAAAGAAAGATTATTCAAAATAGTGGAACAACTTGAGTGATACATATTACCATTAACTTTCTTTCTTCCTTAGTACGCTTCCTTAACAATGGACTTTTTTGCCAATCACTAGATGTGACTACTGAGAATAGCTTAGCATTTGGAAGATGATGCAGGTACTGTCTGCCTTGTGTACAAGCCCATCATCCCTCCTAGCCCCATACCAAGGAGGTTTTCTTCCAGAGCTATAGTTTCTTTTCCTTTACTTTTTGTTTTCATCCAACTCCAATATTAGGGTAGATCCTGACAGTCGGGTCCAGCAATTAGTTTCTGCGATACTATGCCAACTCTAGATTCTGGGAGAGAGAGCTTGCATATAAATATCCTTTTTCTCCTACCGAGGTGTTCCACTATCAGGCATCCTTTTCACTAATGCCTGTTTATAACAGAATATAGTAATAAATCATTACTGAGACTGGAGAAGGAAGACAGAGATTAGGTTACCCAGAGAAGTGGTCCTGAACTTGCTAGCAACAGTTCTGGGACTAACAACTAGGATACCTTTCTGGCAGGGACATATCTGCACATAACTGCACTCCAATCACTGGTATGTGATACATATGAAACTGGAACGTGGGGGACCTGCAATGTAGATCTGATCTCAGTAAAGAGGATTTTTCCTTTGAGAAGCTACTGCTGATGTTACAAAGCAGACTCAGGTTTCCTGAGAAACAACGTGCTTTAAAGACTGCTTCCTCAAAGCAGTGTCTCATCTCTAGGAAAGTCTTTGATGGTCTATCCTTCACCTCCTTGTTGAGGTAAACTCAGAGAAAGTTCTTAATTGTTGCTTGTGAGGACATTTCCAACAGCCATCTGGATCCTGCTCTTACCAGGCTGCTGAACTTTGACTTTAAGCAATTCTTACATGCTGTCCTTGACTCCTTTTGTGGACAATAACCATGAAGAATAGCTTTAAGAAAAAAAAAAAAAAAAGTCTTAAGAGCACTAACAGTGACTTCTTCTTCTCCAGATGTGCCTAAATAACTGTCCTGTCTTTTGGGGATAACGAGACCAAAACTCCCAACTTTAGACCGTTTTTATGCATCGCTACAGGAATAATACGCCCATACCCAACTTACGCTTAAAGCTACCTTTTGTCTTTTCAGCTTGCTTTCCTATGGAAATGTGATGAAGAAAAGACTATGAAGGCAAGTTTAAATATTTGCTTTCAGTTGCAGAATCTCTCAAAATGCCTTTAAACTCCAGCCACCAGGGACCTAGATAAACTACCCTCAAATCTTCAAGGAAGGCTCTGATTTTTGGTGTAATAAATTGAAAAATATTATAGGGATAATTGCTTTTGTTCTTGGAGAAGACTATAATGCTGCAGACTGAAATAATGGAGGCAAAATGTGCCAGAAACTGCTTTGCTAAGGAGCAATGGACATACATTGCTCCTGAATGTTTTCAGAGCATCCTTCTCCTTGGTGGAGAATGGGTCTTCTCCCTGTGCACTTCATCTAAGAAGTGGAGTAGGCTTTTTATTTTGAAGTTATTGCCCTGGCTCAGATAGTAAAAGAAATTTGTCTGCTGCAGGAAGGATTTATATATAAGGTAACTTTCAAAGGGCAAGGGGTTAATTGTCCTATGCCGGGTGTTCTGTTGTGGGACCTAGCCTGCTTCTGTGTACCATAAAGAGTTCAGTTAAAGTTACTTTGGGGGAGGTTCTCCCCTTCACTGCCTGCCCCTTCTAGCTGCTCAGAATCCTAGAACAGCCCAGGCTGGAAGAGATCTCGAAAGACCATCTGGTCCAACCTTTCATGGGAGAGGGAGCAGAGCCCAGATGAGATTGTCTAGCACCCTGTCAAATCACATACTGAAAACCCCCAGGGATGGGGACTGTTCTCACTCAAAAAATTCTTTCTTACATTGAGATGAAACTTTCATGGTGCAACTTGTACCCATTACCCCTTCTCTTGAGAGCCTCTGTCCTGTTTGTAGCTGCTCTTTAAGTACTGGAATATTGTAATGAGGTACCCCCTGAGCCTTCTCTTCTCCAGGGAGAAGAGACCTAACTCTGTCAATCCTTCCTCACAGGGCAGGTTCTCCAGCCCTTCAATCATCTTTGTGGCCCTCCTCTGGACCCTCCCCAGTCTGTCCGCATCTTTCTTGCGCTGTGGGGACCAGAACTGGACATAGTCCTCCAGGTGCAGCCTGAGAAGCGCTAAATAGAGTGCGATGATCACATCGCTATCTCTGTTAGTAACTTGTCACAGAAGTAGCAAGAAATGGTTTTGAAAAAGACTGAATATTTGTTCTGCAGAACAGAGAAGATTTAGCAGCCTATAGACTATCTTTGACATAGGTAAACTGCCAATTAAAACATTGTATGTAATTACATAACTTGTATCTAATGCACAGGATTAGAAATTTCAGATGATAAACTTCCTCCTCCCAAACAGGAGGGTTAAATGCAAGAACTATTACATACCAAGGTATGTGGAAGTGGTTTTTTTTGATGAATATAACCTGCTGCATGCAGACACTTCAGGGCACCAGCTAACATCAGTGAGAAACATACAGCACCTGCTATTGCGACTATATGATAATCTGCAAGTGAAAAAAACCAAACAAATAAACATACATGAATGAAGTTTCCAATGACATTTCATGTTTCACATTCAGAACACCTATTTAGAATCACTGAATAATTTTGCTTAGAAGGAATCTCTGGAGGTCATCTGGTCCAAAGTCAAAACAAGACCAAATCTCAAATTAGATTCAGGAATTAAAAAAGAAACTACACCATCTTGATAACTATCTATGCAGTTAGTTGAGATTTGTGTTTCTCACATGATTAATACCAGATTTGTAGCCCCGAAGAGGATGGGTTTTTATATTCACTTATAAATCCCCACAATGTTTATTACTCAGAAGGTACTTCCTCATTATTTTTAGGATTGACTTGTAAATCTTCCTACATAAAGGGAAAACACTTGCACATATCAAGTCAGACAATCCATTCCTGCACCACAGCACAGTTACCTTGCTGAGCTACAGAGTCTGCCGTTACACATTTCCAGGGTGATGAGGTGGAATGTTCATTTAGAGATGCAGTGACTGTAACAGACACACAGTAATTTCTATTTGGATACAATTCTTCAATGACAGTGTTAAAAATTTCTTCAGCAGTTTTCTCACGTGGCCTCTGTCATGAAAGACAATGTTTTAAAGTTAGCTATTTGCCTAAAAAGAGGTCCCCAGCCACTGATAAAACATGATGGCTATTTCAGAGAAATGCAGTAGCATATGAAACTGCAAAAACTGACACAGTAACTCAGCAGGTTACCTACACAACCACTTCATCACTAGTTCTAGCTGATGTCAAGATGTCTACCTTACACCTATTTCTGAAGTATTGTATTATCAAAGATAAATTGAATTCTGTCTCCAACTGTGGGTCACTATGTGTCCCCTTGAAGTAGACTTACATAGATTCTACAGATCTGAAACTGCAAGTGACATTATGATTCAGATATCAGGGAAAAAATATCCATGGCAGGCAATTTGTGGTCCCTCTGTGACTCATGGCAGAACGAGTTCACTTGAAGTCCCAACAGGTCCTTGTCTGACCTGCTGTTCAAAACTTCCAGTAGAGGCAGTCCATGCTCTAGTTAGGCAACTTATTCCAGTGCTTTGCCAGCCCTGGTATTAATGTCTCTCTTGATGTTTAATCTAAAGTCTGCACAACTGCCAATTTCACTTTACTGTTTTTGGTCACAATCACAGTGAGTGGTTTATTTCCTCCTTTTCTGTAGGAGGAGACTCAGAGACTCTGGCCTCTATAGTTGTGCTTTGCTTGCTTACACTAAGTGGGACCCTATTCCAGCATTTCCTCGCTGGTCACGTATCAAGAACCCCCCCAGTCCCCAATATTCCTTTTTGGACCCCGCTCAACTGGTCTGTGCCTTTTCTGAACCCCAGACTGACGTGGGGTAGGTAGGCTTTACAGGTACTGAGTACGTAAAAATACGATTTTTTTTTAATCTCTCAGCAACATGTGAGTCAAGTTTAGCTTCTAGTATTATATAATGCTCTCATCCTTTCAGGCAAAACTTCTGCCTGTGTAGCTGTTACCACTCCACTTATTACATAGACAGTTACTCTTAAATGTTATACCTTGTATTGGTCCTTATTGAATTATCTCCTATTATTTTAAGATTATTTCTCCATTTTGTGAGGCTCATTTTAAGTTCTAATCATGCCTATCTACCTCTCTATTTCAGAATAAAATAAAATTTAAAAAAAAAAAGTGCCAGACCCAGAATAAGTTGTTTCAGAAACTAACTGGATACATTTTTTCCAGTTTGTCAGAAAACTACTGAACTCCTCTCTGAACATATTTTCCTATCAGTTGTGCATGAACATATTTTCCTATCAGTCGTGCATATAGCAGCTAGTAGATTCTGCTAAACTTTCTTTCCCTTGTCTTTCCAGAGAACAATCCCTTGAGCTGAAATAAAGCCCTGTGCTTTATTTCAAGGAAGAACATAGGAAAACTAGTATTCCTCTTCTAGGCTTGCTACTCTGCAGTAAGGGGAAGCTAAGATTATGTTGGCCATTCTCGTTGTTTCCTTCTAAGTATCTTCAATTCACATATGTGCTTCTGTGAATCTGCTAACCATCAGAGCCATTTTATGCTTTCTGTATTTCTCCCCTAAAGCACAAATAAAATAAAAATTTATTTACCTTATGCTCTCCATCAAGTGTTTTAAGTGTTATATCATAATTAAGCTCCTTATATATATCAGTTAAAGACAGTAGCTTTCCATTTTCTCTGAAGTGAGAGGTCGGCAGCTTTATGGTGACATTTAAGCAGTTTAGACAAGAACTGATATTAACTTCTGGTGGCCCCAGGAATGCTATTGAAAAGAAGAAAGAAAAAAGAGATGGAAAACATATACATTCAGTACCAACTCTACTTCAGTGACAGATAATACAGCTGACTAATCAGATTCCACAGTATGTCACTGTTGTAAATCTACAAAGTCTTGCACCACTTAAGTTTCATGGTCAAATGATCTTTTCCCACAGGACTAGATTTTGAAAACAGAAAGCAGTGGAGGGGAGGGAAGAAGCAGAAAGGTTACAGAGCTTTTGTTTCAGCTCCATAGATATATGAACATTTTATCTATTTTGAGGAAAGCTGAGGTTAATGCACAGGAAAAGCTGTCTGCTTTCTTGCTCATCACCATCTTCTAGTCACTCTCCGGAAGGAATCGCTGCAGAAAATCAGTGGTGTGTAGCCCTGCATATATTCATACTGGTTGCAAGGAAGGCTATGGGTCTAAACTTGACAACTGAGCTCCAAAGACTAAAAACTCTACTACAGAGAACCTAGTGAAACATTCACTTCTGTGAGACTGCCATTGCTTTCAAAGTAACCTCTCAAATTCAGGTCCTCAGAACATGTAGGTGTTCGAAGAGCCATACACACTAATTGCCTCCTCTCTCCAAAACTACACATCCATCAAGATCAAAGGCACTTCTGTAGTAAATCAAGCCCAAGATCTCCTTTTCTCCAACACAGGAAAGAAGTAGGAATGTTGGAAAATGGTGCAAGAAAAAAAACTATCTCCATAATTCTCCATTTCTGTGTAGTACAATGTGAGGCAAAAACATAAACATTTAGATAGTTTTCATTTCACTTTTGTCTTTTCCAGAAGCATGTACATTTTGATTACTCTGGAGACCAGTTTGCCAATCTCTGCAAAATTCAAAAAAAGTGATATATATTTGCTAACTGCTTCTGGCTTCTATTCCTGAAATATGGTAGAAAGAAAAAAAAAAACAACCACTTATAATAAACATGAGCTTTCATCTACTCTCAAAAAGGAAAGCATGTCCTAGTCAAATGGCTAAACACTTATTCCTTTCTTATATTTTGTTTTAAGTTACTAATAAACATTAGCTTAAATCTGGTTACAGTCAAATGTGGTAGTTCTCCTGGCTCTGTTACGAAGCCTTTCTGTCTTTGCTTGAATTCATCTGTCAACTGGAGTGACATTCCACGGTAGGTATTTGAAGGTAGATATTAACTACACCCAGTGGGGAAATATCTCAGAATATTGATTCTTCACTCAATTGCTTATGGTTTGAACTAGAGAACTACTAGCAAAACATCCAGTTTCAATTTACAAGTTGTCAGTGATGGACAATCAGTCAGAGCACCTGACAGTTTGTTCCAGGGGTCAATTCAAAATACACCTCTTGTTTCTAGCTAAAATTTATGTAGCTTCAGCTTCCAATCAGGGAATGCTGTTATGCTTTGTTTACAAGACTGAAGAAGCCTGCCACTGTATTAACTAGTGGTCAACTGATCTTTCTCTTTATTAAACTAACTGCTGAAAGACTGAAGGCCTCCATCTCAGAGGGATGTTTTAAAATCCTTCAGTTATCCTGGTGGCTGTTCTCCCCACCCCTTCAATTTTTCATCATTTCTGAGACTATAAGTGAACACAGCAGTGGCTACCTCTGTGCTGAGTTCAGAGGTAACGTCCTATTTCTCCTCCATAGTCCTCCAATTGGAGGGTACACTTTGGGGAAAGTTAAGTAAAGGAAGCTTTTCCAGAGCGAGTGAGCTGGATTAGTATAAGCTTATAAAAACATATATTGTCAGTAACTTAGTCTCAGCACACTTAAATTATTGAGCTTTCTAAACAGATACTCCTCAATCTCCATCTCTGTTACTTCAAAGCTAGCTTCAAAACTAAGCACAACTAAGGGTGAAGCCACCCTATGGCATTAGAAGATGTCACAGCTGGTAAGCTTCTTCCTTCATCATGGAAAGGGAAAAAAGTTGATGAACAAACAAGTAAATCTCTTCCCCTACACCAAGTGAAGATGTGGTATTTAACTATCTAATAACTTTAACTAACTAATCAAGTAGTATTGACTACTTGAAGACATAAAAACAATGTTTGTTTGGGTTTTTTAATGTGTCTTATGCACTTAAGTGATTTTTACTTTGTGCTTGTCAATGCTTGACATGTTGTTATTTCCTTTATATATATATTTTTTATTTCTAAGCCATAGCCTCGTCCATTTATCAGAACTACCACAGCCACAAATTTTAGAAAGCAACCTATATATTCTATGTCTTGTTAACTGATATATGAAAGATGATATACAAATTCTTACTCTCTTATAATAAGCTACCGACCAAGTTAGTTTGGAGTGACTTACTGTAAAGCTAGCAGAATACTATTTATACATCAGCTAGGAATAAAACTACTGAAATGAGCAAATGCAGACAGAGAACTTACTGTCAGTATATGGCACAAAATTAAATACAGAAGAATTGAATACTTCAGTTCCTATGAAGCTCTGAACGAATGCAGAATACTGAGTGAAAATCTCTTTAAAATCATCTGTCAGATTACAGGAGAGTTGTGTAATATTTGAACATTGTTTAGCAGTCTTCCAGTTCCTGTAAATTAAAACAAGTTAAAAAAAGATCAAAATAATCTATCTGGATTCTCTGCATTGGGAGGAGGGGAGGGGGGTGGGAAGCATTTCTGCTTGGGAAAGAAACCAAACAAACAAGAAAACCCCAGCCTTAGTATTTTGAGTCAATAAACATTATAAGTAAAATTTGTGTCTCATAAAGTAAGACTTGCCTGCGGTCAGTGTACAGCACACGATAGTAAGTTGGCAAAGGTAGATCCCTTTTTGCCTGCCAGGACAAAATGTGCTGAAAATTGTCAGATTTCATTTGTAGGTTCTGAGGTGGCCCTCCCAGAAATCTTTCTAGAAAGGGGAAAAAAAAAATCAAAATGAAACAACCCACCAATATAAATGGCAAACAAATGTGAGATTGCAACAATTCTAATCAATAAACCAAATCAGAGCAGCCCAGTATTTGCCCCAAAATAAAGCAACTACAGAACAGAAAAGAGTTCAGCACAACAGAAACAACAATGCAAAGGACTGCCCTCCTGTATTATATTTCTATTAAGCTCTTTCTTCAGAAAGCATAAAGTTGTAAAATTATGCCTGCTGAGAATATGCAAGATTTTTTTTAACTGTATTTGGAAAAGCAGTTGAAAGACAATAAAAACTCTTACCAGATGAGCTGAAACAAGCTGTAGACAGAATGCTGATGTACACTGGAAAATGAAACTATGTATTAATGCATTTGTATGTCTACAATATCCGATTATTAGCTTCCTATTGACAATATTAATTTGCAACAATTAGAGATAATACTTAGCATTCCCTCAGTGGAATTGTTTCTTTCCTTCAGATCATCTTCCTCCTACTTTCCTCTGCCCTTCCCTTCTTCCCCAGAGTATGGGATGTCCCCTTCCAACCTCTGTCATTAATTCGAGCCTTCTAGAAGCTTACACTGATCCCTGACAGATGAGGTTCAAGACTTGGCGTGAATAAACATACTTCAGATGTTCTTACCAAGTATGCTTAGAGGATTCTGACTATATTTCAGGTAGCTCACTCTGTCTATTAAACACCATTTTAAGTCACAACAAAAAACTTAAAACTGGTCTGGGAAAAGATACTATTACTACTTGCAGAACATGACTGAATCATCTTCACAGATGTCCTCCTTCGTTAAATATGGGCAGTCCTTAAGGCTGTAGTTTAACAACTTTGGTATATAACTTACTGTCTTCAGACAGGCAACTCCTGTAACTCCCTATTTCAGGCTCTATTTCAAAACTCCCTCTCTATTTTGTGTCCTGTTTATGCAACACTTCCCTGTGGGTGTTCACAGAATTCTATTCTCTGCCAGCAAAATAAAAGGAAAAAAACCAACAGGTGCTGTAACACTTCTTCTCCTGTCACAGAGCATGGTTAAGGCCACATTCAGCCTGTCAGTCAGGCCTGCTGTCCAAGTAATTTCTTGAACCCAGCCTTCTTCCAGATCCTGACATCCTAGAGGTCCCACATCTTCTTGTATAACCCTCATAAGAGACTGTTCATTCATCCAGATGCTCACTGTGTCCAGAATTATTTTCCTTGACCAACACAGTCTTGCATCATTCATATCTTTTCAGCACAGTGTTTCAAAACACTCTTGAAATTATTGTTCTGACCCTTCTCATCTTCTTCTCAAGATCCTTTAGCTCCCTTCTGCTTTCTGCGCGCAACAAGTATGAACTTCCTGTCCTTACTGTAAGGGCATTTTGTGGCCTATTCTCTTACTGATGAGATGCCAACTCCCATACTGAGCTGGTCAAAGAAGTTATTAGTTTTATTTCAAACATGCATGCTTTTTCTCACACTTTAGATGAACTCCCTAGAAATTTCTCATGCTTTAGAGGAGCTCCCTGCAAAATTACTTCATTATTTTCCCTAAAAAAAAGTTCAGTTTCCCTGAACTCTCTTTTGTCTTGACACCTAAACCTTCTACCCCCAAAAAATGTCAACACTCAAAACACTGTTGGCCTAATACCTCTGCTGAACTATGGTGATTAATACTGCCTTAACCTGTTTTATTCTCCTTATCCCACTTAGAATGGTAACTTCCATAGCATGAGGAACATCTTTGACTTTACATTTGTACAGCAACTAACATAGTAGCAGTCTGGTCCACAGCTGAGGTTCTCAGGTGCCACACTATGACAAATAATATACCAGCACTACTTGACGTGTCAACAAGATGTGCCACAGTAAGCATCACTGTGAAAAGAGTAAAGAAATCTGGGACATACCTTATAAAAATTAAGACAATCTATATGGAGATCTACAAATAAGAGATAGGACAGGACTATCACAGAGTGGCTGAGGCTGGAAGGGACCTCTAGAGGTAATCTGGTCCAAACCCCGAATACATGAAACATAGTATCAGAATACTAGGTCCTGGTAAATTAGAAGGGATTCCGAATAGCAGTGGGTCAGTGGGAACTGCCCTGTCCCAGAGAGACACATTAGGAGAATTTCCAAATGCATTAAAGCAGTTATTTTATGACCCTTGTCTACTTGCAGAGAGTACTGGAAGAGGAAAGGAAAAATTTCCTACTCAATTAAATAAAGAGATATCTGCACAGAGTCTTTATAGCTGCAGAGGAGTGCCTTAAAAATTGGCCTTTCATTTGCAGTGGGCACACACAGAAGCAGACATAAATACACTTAGGCACCAAAGTTTGTTGAAATCATTTGGGATGGATACTTCACCAAATATCTCTTACAAATCTGTCTCTTTGGACATCTGTCTCACAAACATTAAACTATGCGCCCAGCATCCCTTCTGAAATTAGATGCATGCAAAGAGATTAAGCAGCTCACAAGAGTTGCACATGCAGCAAATTTATAGTTCCACATGACAGAAACCTCATCTCTCTCAAGCTTCATTTTGCCATTCAAACCACAGACATCTTCTCTCTTGTATGTCTTCATTTTGCACTTGTTCTTCTACATTATTACTGAATAATAAACAGCCTCTTAGAGAAGCGCAGTTAAAAGTAGAACAACTGATTTCTTGCCATACAGTAACAGATCACCCATCTGGAAAAAACATCCAATGGGTATGAATAACAAAGCAATACTTTAGCAGTTATTATTCTTTACCTGAACGCAAGCTCAGATTCGTAATAATTTGTGGCAGAAATTCTCCCTTCTCCCAACAGGCACATTAAGGATATTCTCACTATAGAAACGGATAGCATCAGTGCACAGACTGTAGTAATAACACACTTCCTTCCAGCAAGCCCTTCGGATTAGGAGATGCAGTCTTTTGCCATTCTCTTATGCCAGACACCTCACATGTGTCACCCGTCTCTAAATGTTCTTCTATTCTGTCCATATTTGTGATTTTTAAATGCCTCTCCCATACCAAAATCAAATTCCGTCCATCTAGACTTCAAACTGACTCAGAACTTTGTTTCAACAAATATGTTTAGCAAAGATAGTGGGAGAATTGCAAAATTTGTAGGTTACACTCTTACATAAGAGACACAGACTAGAAAAAAAAAAAATCTTCGACCAAATAACTGGGAAACTTACGACTGGTGAAATAAAGATGGTCTGTAAACTGAATGGGGAATCTTCTTTACCATTTTATCTTTTTTACAGAATTAAATTATCCTATCAAAACAGTTTCCCACAACTACATCTCAGCCAACACACTATGTTTGTTGTGCATGCTAATCCAAAAACTAAGGAGTCCTGAAAAAAATTAGAACAAGAAATGAAAAATAACACACCCAACTAAGAGTTCACTGGACATTTAGAGAGGCAGAGTGCAGTACACTATTTCAAAGCACTTCTTGCTTATGGAATTATGTATAGAACGGAGTATGTAGAATATAATACACTAGATTCTTTATTCTGTGAATTATTCCGAGGAGAGCTCTATAATAAGACGATGGTATCTCACTTCAGTAACTCAGGAGGAGTGTTAGTAAAAAATTAACAGTATTATTCCTCTTACAATATAAAGGTACAGGCAACTTACAAAGTTGATAAAAATGCATTGGTCCATCCATCAGTGTTTCCACAGTGATTAAGAAATATAACCTACCGATTGTGAAATAAACATCTTGCTGCTGTACCTGCAAATACATTAAAAACACATTCAGCAAATCATCTTAGTAAATTACTTGCAAGTAAAACAAGGTCTATGTACAAAGACTTATTTTAACCTCTTCAATGTTTTGGGGGGGGGAGGGAGTGGCATTGAAACAGTTGCTGCTATCAGAGGCAGTGGGGGAAGGGGGCAAGGATCCTCAAATTAGACAGGCAATTTTATGACAACAGCACTTTCCTTTTTTTCACATGGAAAGGGCTCCTACCATTTCAAATAAATACAGAAAGCATTGTATGATTATTTGTATTAATTTTGCATTACGATAGCGTCTGAAAATTCTATGCCACTCATTCCAACTTATCAAATACAATGAAACTAAACATTGCTTGGCTTTATTTGAAATATCACAAGAACTCACCACTGTTGTAAAAAAATGTTTCCAGAAAGAGGGTAGATCAAGAGGGAGGTTAGAAAAAAAAATTATTAATTGTAAGGCAGTTATGAAGTTTATGTTACAATTTTTTAATACATAAAATCTATTGAAATCTCCTATCTATCCTCAATGTTATTATTTTATTGTATTTATTATCCTCATAGGATTAATATTTGCAGGATCTGGTTTTGAATTACAGGCAAAGAATCTGTAGACAGTTGGGCAAGACTATAACTACTTCCAAAGAATCTTCTCCTCAGGTTTAATACAAAAAAAAAATGGTTTTAAATTTAAAATTATTTTAAAATGCAACTTATATTTTCTTGAAAAAAAACCAGCTTCAAATTTAAAATCATGACAAAGCATACTACTGTCAAACTTAACACAGTATGTTAGAACCAGATGAATTTAAAAAACCATTATGTGAGTTGTAAATCTTCCCCTGCTCAAAGTTTTAGCATGACTGTAGGAAGTCATTGGATAAATGTCGAGGATCTGACTTTTTCAGGCTGTTCAAAATTCTCTCTTAAGGGGAAAACCTTGAGGATCCTGAATTCACTTAGCAGAATATTTGCTTTATGTCTTGATCTTTGCAATTTATCACAAGACATGTTCAAAGCACTCCATACATTGCATTATGTGATAAATGTACATGCCTACCTTCAATCCTTGTTGTACATGCTGGCACGAATAACAACTATCCCACTCTTGGAATGTGAAGCGACTCACATATTCCTCTGTATGCTGAACAACACTCACGACGCATGTTCAAAGCCAAGTTATGTGTAGAACACGTAAGAAAAATGTGACAAAACAGGTTTATCTCCAAGTTTGCAGAGCTGTCTAAATCTGGATGTCCACTGCAGATCTATCAATGCCAGTGAAATTCCAGGGGAAAACCATTTCTGTCAGAACTCTTGGTACTCTTCCTCTTCAGAGCTTCAGCAATCCCTGAAGAAAAGCCATGAAAATACTAGTCAGTCCAGCCCTCACTCACCTCATCAGCCTGGGCTCACAGTAACTCCCCTGGAAGCTGCCTGAAGCTCCCAGTGATTTCAAAACTCAGCTTCAGAGTTTTATGCCATCTTCAGTTGGCAGCTCATTTTTAACTGGAATTCAGGCTGGGTTGTTTTGTATTTGCTCCCAGTCAGAAAAAGAGCAGGTTTTGAAGTTTTGAAGGCCACTGGCTTGTATTTCAGAAAAGCTTCATATCAGTAGAGCAGAAAACACACCCTATTCTTTGAAACAAGCAGATGGCATATTTATTTATAGAAATCTACTTATCTTAATATTGAGAGAGACAGGCATGACAGGAGATGTTTCAGGCAGAGAGGTCAGCAAAGAAACGTTCTAAACCTACACAGGTAACACAATGTACGGATCAACTTTGCTACTGAAACCACATGGACTACAGAATCACGCTGTGGATTGTAATGTTATGCCCACGCCCTATTCCTGGCTTTGCTGGGGGAATTTAGGTAAGTCCCTTCTACAGATATTGAAATTATTTAACCTTAGTAATCGTCAAAGTCCATTAACCAGAAGTCCATTTTCCACACACTGCCAGCAGTGCTCCTGGTGAGCTGGACACGACCCTGGAGGAACCAGCGTGGGACATGCAGCATTAAAACATACCAACTGACTCCTTGGCTGCCCTGTGCCCCTCCAGCATGGCAGGGGGGACAACAAAACAGAACTGGTGACAACAAACTCTGTCAAAGTCTACTGTTGTGTATTTTTCCTTACAAATGTCTGGCCTTGAGCACAGATACCTGCATCAATATCTGCTACAACGCACCTCACAGACTATCACTAGGAACAAGCTTGCACTCGGTGACACTGCCGAAGAAACAATCCCAATAACCCGCTGGTTTCACGCTCAGCTCAGCTGGTATAATGCCAAAACGTGCTGTGGGGACACGGATCCCAGCCAACAGCGGCCTCCACAACGCGCCCAGCAAAAGACACCTTTCCAGGAAACCCCGGCGGCCGACCGCAGCTGCGGGAGCCAGGCCCGGCGCTCACACACACCTCCCCTCCCCGAGGGGGAGCGGG